ATGGATGGCTGTTGTTTCTGAATGATAACATCAAATTAACTTTTTAAGTCAAAAAATTTTACCAAAATATCTCTAAGATAAGTGGACATTTTTTTTTAAATTCATGTGCTTCAGCTTATAGATGAAGATTTTTCTCTAGTCTTGGGTCACTTCCCAAAAATGAACAGATCATTTTCCATTATCTAGTAACTATCCAACTGAACTGAGATCTTTAAGAGTTATACATTATTGCTGGGGTGTTTATAACTTTAGTGCAGTCTTAAAGATAAGATCGCCACTAGGAAAAATAAAGAAGCTAGTGAAAATTCAATTAGTCCGTAAGTACAGGGTTGCGCAACAAAGTCTTGGATTTTAGCGGTATTCCTTTAGATGAAGAACAATGAGGCAGAGGTGGTTTGGGGAGTGAGCTCAAGAACTGTTTCACTATAGATTTTAAAAGGCAGTTGTACAGGGGAGTAGAGGCTTAGAAGAGACAGAGGCGCCAAGTTTCACTTGGAGGACCATCATCATCTAGAGAGCCAGGATGCAAAATGTGACCTGCGGGGAAGGGAGTCCAGAAATGATTGCTGGCGGACTTAACACTGAGGATGAAGAAGGGGAAGAGAACACAACCAGGAGGAATGAATCAGAATGCACCACAGTGGCACCCAAAACGATAGGGAGATGACAGATTGAACCAAACATTTCTGGTGATTTACGTTACATAAGGACTCAGCAACGCCATAGTATTAGCTGATTTAGTGGTCAGTAGTGGCCTTGATTAGAGCAGATTCCTTGGAATGGTGTGTTTTTTTTTTTTTAAACAGAATGAGGGAAGAGGAAGCTGAAACCAGAACTTCCAATTTTAGCTTTCAAGTTTTGCTGAAAACACACCCAGAGAAATTGGGTGGCATTCAGCAATTCAAGATAAAAACAAGTTTAATTTTGTTGTGTTTAAGATGACAGAGAACCAGGATGTCTGTTGTGTGACAGTTTCTTCCAGAGAGGACAAGGATGTTGCCGCCATAGGCTCTTAACAATACGGCTGCCTACAAGAAAATGTTGAAGATCACACTAGTCTGCATGCCAATATAGATGCAGGAAAATGTTGTGTGGAATAAAAAATAAACGTGGCCTCATGCCTAGATAAAGAGCTACAGGCAGTGAATGACTGCCGAGGAAGGGAGAACCAGGTCTCTTTGCTTGTTTGGCTGGCTGACAGGTTGGTTAGTTTATCTAAGGACAAGACACCAATCCCAAGTGGCCAACTCTAAACACATGCAAAGAAGGGCAACATTAACTAATAAATGAGGATAAACACACACGTAAATATTTACATGCATAACACATACACATATGTATAAAGAGGCCCTGCCCTCAAAAAGGAACTGGGGAGACACTGGAGAAATTAGAGAGGAGGGTGAAAATGGTGCAAACACATTGTCCTCGTGTATGGAATCCTTAAATAAATGACAAATCAAAGGCAGGTCTCTGGGGAAGAAAACAGGTTGAGAAAGGAGAGACAGATGCCCAAGATACTAGGACTGAGAGAAAAATGGGTGAAAAGCATTCTATGAGGAAAGGAAGCTGCCTAGAAGGATGCAGTGTACCACTTGAGATCTGCACTCACAGCTGCCCAGCCACACCAAGAAGAATCCTATGAATTTTTAAAATATGGTTCTGCTGCTTGGAAAGGCGGGACTCTCAAGAAGTTGACTTTGTTCAAGACTACCGATCTTCCAAGTTAGAAAAGACTGAGCATTGAAAAGAACTGGGGCTTAAAGCTATGCTAGAGTGTACTTATAAATTAGAATGTGGGCTCTATGCCTCTGCAGAAAACAGTAAGGAAACAAGAACATATAGGCCTGGGAATGGTGGCGGGAGACAGATAAGAGGGCCAGCAAAAAGCCAAGGAGGGACATCAGGTCATGAGGAACAAACATCCCCACAGAAGAAGTCTTCTTTTCCTTACAACCTACAGCTCCTAAAATGGTACCTTTCAATTTGTGTTTTGGGATTTGGGGGCACTATTTTTTTTAAACTTATTTTTTTCCCACCAGGCATGGTGGTACACAACTTTAATTGAAGAAGAGGTAGAAGCAGGAGGATCTCCGTGAGTCTGAGGACAGCCTGGTCCACACTGTGAGCTCTAAGCCAGCCAGAGCTACATTGTCCAACCCTGTCTCAAAGTATGCACACATATGCAAACACACACACACACACACTTTCAGACTATATATTTTGAACATGTTTTTCCCCTACCCTAACCCCTCCAAGATCCTCCCCACCTCCCCACCTACCCAACTTCGTGTTTTAACTAAAGGCACTTTTAATATATCAAATTAGGTCACACCATAACAGTTTTTGTACAAAATACAAACTTTGGTTCCAATAAGCAGTTAAATATTTTTTTAATTTATTTAGATATTTTTTAAAAAAAAATCATCCCAAATTCCTACTCCCTCCTCTCCTCCCATTCCTTCCACACAACCTCCCACCCCACCCCTATCTAATCCTAAGAGAGGGTAAGGCACTTTGTTTTGTGGAAGGTCCAAGGCCCTCCCTACTACATCTAGGCTGAGCAAGATATACATCCAAAGAGAAAAGGATCCCGAAAAGCCAGTACATGCAGTAGAGATAAATCCCAGTGCCACTGCCAGTGACCCCTCAGTCTTCCCCGGTCATGCAACTGTCAACCACATTTAGAGGAACTAGTTTGGTCCTATGCTTGTTCCTTCCCAGTCCAGCTGGAGTTGGTGAGCTCCCATTAGCTCAGGTAAACTGTTTCAGTGGATGAACCCTTCATGGTCTTGACCTCTTTGCTCATATTCTCATTCCTTCCACCCTTCAACTGGACCTTGGGAACTCAGTCCAGGGTTAAATCTTGATATTATATGAAAAATTCAATATATCCAAAGAAAAACATTTAAAATGATCATGCGTGGTTGGTCTCCACAAAAACATTAAATAATAATAAAGCAACCATGGAAGGTCCGTCCTTTTCTGAATGGAGATGGAGGAGGAGTGGATGGGGACAGGGGTGGAGGGACAGGGGTGGATGGGGACAGGTGTGGATGGGGACAGGGGTGGATGGGGACAGGGGTGGATGAGGACAGGGGTGGATGGGGAAAGGGGAGGAGACAGGAAAAGAGGAGGGAGGGGAAACTGGCTGATATATAAAGTAAATGAAAAAAGTGTTATTTAAATTTTAAAAAAGAATAAAGCAATTGAATTACAGCTCACCTGAACATGTCTGTTGGCTGTACATATCTGGTAGGCAACAATATTTGAATCGAAAGATACACTTTTCTTTTTTGATACAGTTTTCAAAGACATGGAAGTCATTAAGAAACCGCTTATCAACAGTTAACACATAGCATCCACCTACCACCCAGATCAGCATGACTCTCTGGTATTGGACAAAAATGAAATCTTTGGGGAACTCATGTCATGGGGTTTAAAGACTAGATCTCCTGTGTCGGCAATAGCCGACATTATTTCATTTAATCCTTACAACAATCCTGTATGATGGGTATTAATATTACTCCCCTCTAATAAGTGAGACAAACAAATGAAACAGAGCCATTTGGTCCTACAGGAGGGAATTAATTTGTTCAGAACTGAAAGTTGGTAGATGGAAAAGCCAGAACTGAAACTCACTCTGACTCCTGAAGCTAACCGCTCATCTTTCACGCTATATAGTCCAATTGACATGTAGTATCACTAATATTAATGGGCTCATACGAAGTATATAATTGCCCCCAATATATTGGTGGCATAATTGCTGAAAGGTCATGTTTGTCATCATCATTTTGTATTCAGCTATAAAGGAACGCTTTGTGAAACAGAGATGCTCTTTCAGAGTACACAGCAAGCTGTAAGTTGGCCCCAGACCTCTGAAACTATCCTTGGTAGGAGATCTGAGTTCAGTACATTTTCCTGCAGGTATTGAGTGAGGGATGTCACTGAGCTGCTCAGGAAGCTTCCCATCTCCGACCTTCCTCCAGGCTTAACCAGTGTGGAACACCAACAGGAGACTGGACAGAGGCTAGAACAGAGAGCCGAGCTCAGATTAGTAACTTCTCTGTAACCGGGATGCAATGCCAGGACCGAAGCATTTTAAGGAAGAACACAGTTCCTGGGGGATAAAGTCCATAACGGCAGGAACAGGAAGCCAAGTGATATATGTCATCACACAAAAAGCAGAAAGAAAGAACAGGAAGTGGGGATGAGGCTATGTAACTTTCAAAGTTCACTCCCAGTCCCAGTGATGTACTTCCTCCGGCAAAGCTCTGCCACCTAAAGGTCCCTTAATCTCTAGTGCCACCAGCTGGAGACCAAATATCCAAATACCTGAGCCTATGGGGGACGTTTCTCTTCAAAGCACCACAGGGCCTTTGCTTTCCTCACTTAATTCCTGAAGAGGCCTACACAGTGAATGAACACACAAGTTCCTGCTGCATTGTCTAGCGGTGGTGGCCTGCTCCCGCTTTCCAACATGCAAGGGTTATGCTGTGTTATAACCTGAATGCTCCGTAGACCTAGGTGAATATTTCCTTAACTACACTTATTATTACAGATTACTTACTTGTAGTGTTGCAAAAATCCTACACAGATACAGAAGTGATCTATTTGAACAAAGAATATGCCATAGCATTTTTTAAAGGACATCTACCGTGAGTGTGTGTATGTGTGTGTGTGTGTATGTGCACGCATGCGTGTGTGTGGAGGGGGTGCCTGCTCACATATAAACCAGGTGGAAGCCAGAGGTCAACTTTGAGTGTCATTCTTCATTAGCCATCTACCTAGTTTTTGAGATTAGTTCTCTCATTGGCCTGGGGGGGGTGTCACTGATTAATTTAGATTGGCTAGCCAGGGAGCCGAGAGCGATGGGCGTATGTCTGGCTCTCCTGCACTGAGATAACAGACATCCGCCATCATGACTGTCTATTTTCAGCAAGGCCTGGAGGATGAAACTCAGGTCCTCATGCTTGTGCATCAAGTACTATACCGACCAAGCTGACTCCACTCCTTGTGTGCTTTTGTAAGAAGAGCGAGGATATGTAAGGACATTACAGACAGGCAAAGAAACTTTCATCAGACTCCTAATGCTGAAGAGCCGGCTTTTCAAATGGGACCTCATAAATCACTCCAGCCCGAGCTAAGTGCGACGGTAATGGAAGATGAACAGCCTGCACAAGCAGACACATGGTGGCCATGCACAGAAAGCCATTCTAACCTTCTCGGCCATGTTGCTTCTCTACTAATTAGGATGAGGACATGAAGATTTATGTTTGGCTCGAGCATTTATGAGCCCAAACCGAACGTAGCTAACCACTGGGTTTTGTAAGCGCGGAGTTAAAGACAGCTAGTCACCTACGTTTATGAGATCCGTGGTGAAAGGTTTGCAGCGCCTGGACAGGTATCTGCGAAGCTAAAGCGCCTCACGTGATTGCTGGCATTTGTTAGCGTAGACATTCTGCTCGAGGAGGGCTAATGGGAGTGTAGACAAACCTTTGCTCTGGTATTGGAAGGGCTGCAAAGTCATCTAAAGTTAAGGCATGCTCTTAATGACGCAGTATTGCTATTCTGTGTCTCAGAATTTATCCCAAGAAAACAATCACAGCTGTGTGTAAGATTTATCTACTCATACATTTGCTAGGACAATCAACAGACACGCCCACATGAGAGACTATGCACTTACTTAAATGTATAATGGCTTAGGGAAATGTTTACAAAGTATTTTGCTTGGGAGCCAGGTATTAAAACCATATGCAGGCTACTTCTGGGGCTAGTCCAAATACTAGCTGCTATCACCTCTCATTCCAAGAGATCACTAAACACTGAACAGAACATGAAAATCAGCCATAAGAGAAGTCTGGAAACTACATGATGGCAGGGAGATTGGATGTTAACGTGGATACGAATAAGGAGCAGAGGATGAGCTCCAAGGCCTCGCAAGTCTCCTCTGTTCCCCAGGTGTGAACTGCGCGGAGGCTGACTCCAGGAACTCAGTCTACAAGACTTCTGTGTTCTAGAAATAGGGTGTCCACCTCTCTGCCCCTCTCCCCACTTTGGCAAAGTCCCCATGCCTCTTAGCCCCTCGCCACCCCAATAAAAACTTTCCTCTGTAATAATACAGTGGACAAAAGAATTTGTCCCAAGAAAATAGGCACCCACTAGGGTATGAAAGAGGGCCTATCTTAACTCTTTTCTTTTCCAGAGTGAAGGCACAGGCCTGTCGTGTGAACTGCATGACAGCAGGGGAAAGTAAACGTCGAGAAGAGGCCATCCTTCGAGACAGGGAAGCAGGACACAGAGCACGTGACAGACACGACTGGAAGGAAAAACTGGAGAATGTCAGCACAGCGCACATAAGAACCGATATCAGCCCCAGGCACAAATGGAAAAGACCCAAAGAAACAGAGTGGTGGCTTCAAAACAGAAAATGCCTCCGAAGTCAGTGTTCAACTCCCAGCTAACCTGAGTAGTACGAGACCCTGTCAAACTCCCAAAGCAAAGAGCACATTGCAAACTCTAAGGACACCAAAAACCTCCATGAGACAGAATATAAAACTGCAACCCAAACAGGATGATACCAACGACAAGAAACCAATGAATTAACATTTCCATACAACTTTGAAATGGCCCAGAATCTCACACAAATAATTTTTTTTGCAAGATGGGGGTATTAAACCAAAAAACTTGATGCGCACAAATCCAGACAAATATAAGACATACACAAACATACATATATTTTTAAATCATCAGAAGCCAAATCAAAGTTGGTTCAGACACTGGAATAACAAGGGAAGGAGCTTAAGGCAATTCTCTGGAACGATTCTTTAGGTAAACGTGAACACTGTTGAAATGGCTGACAAGTAGGAATGTCTTCCCAGGCAACAGCAAGTGTAAAAAGGAACCAGATGGCCATTTCAGATCTAAAACATACATTATTTATTCCAAATGAGTTTACTGTCAATTTGACCCATGCTTGAGTTGTCTGGAAAGGGGGGCTGCAATGAGTCTATGCCTCCATCCAGATCGCCTGTGGACAAGTCTATAGCTCATTTTCTTGATTAATGATTGATGTAGTGTCTTAGGGTTTCTATTGCTGCACTGAAACACTAACCAAAAAGCAAGGTAGGGAAGAAACGGTTTCTTTGGCTTACACTTCTGGATCATAGTCCATCACTGGAGGAAGTCACAACAGGAACTCAAGCAGCAGGAACTGGAACCTGGAGACAGGAACCGACGCAGAGGCTACAGAGAGGTGCTGCTTACCCAGTTGCTTTCCCTGGCTTGCTCATTCTCTTTTCTTACAGAATCAGGACCACCAGCCCAGGGAGAGCGTCACCCACCATGGCGAATGAGAAAATGTCTTACAGCTGGATCTCATGGAGGCATTTCTTCAACTGAGGCTCTTTCCTCTCTGATGACTCTAGCTTGTGTCAAGTTGACACAAAACGATCCAGTACATGTTGACTGGTCCATCTCACTGTGGCCAGTACCAACCCTGGGTCTTGGATAGTAAAAGGTAATAGGCTTAAAGGTATAAGCAAACCATGAGGACCAAGCCAGTAAACAGTGTTCCTCCATGTCCTCTGCCTCAGTCCATGCCTCCAGGCTCCTACCTAAGTTCCTTTCCAGACTTTTCTTATTGCCAGAGTATAACTTGAAAGTTGTAAGATAAAATGAACCCTTTCCTACCCAAGTTGTTTTTGATCAAGGTATTTTATCACAATAGAAACCCTAAATAAGACAATATTCATATATTTTTACAAAAACTAAATGGATGTGCTCTGGAGAAGAAAACGAGTGATAGAAGACTTGGTAACCAGAATTATGAACCAAATTATACAACCAAAAAAAAAAGACAAAACTGGAAAAAAAAAAGTGGTAATTCATTAAACTGTGACATATTAATCAAAAGGTCAGAGTCCCAAAGAAATTTTACCCAGCACTCGGGAGGCAAAGGCAAGTAGATCTCTGTCCGTTTGAGGCCAGCCTGGTCTACACAGTGAGTGATAACTCACTCTCAGTAACACAACAGTGTTGCTCTCAGACTGCCAGAGCAACACAGTGAGACCCTTGTCTCAGGGAAAAGTAGAAGGAGCGGGAGAGGTGGAGAGAGGGGGAGAAGAAGATTTCACAAATTGAGTAAAAAGAATAAAATTAACAAATGAACAAAAATCTAGAATTACAACCGCCACACCATCCAGAAATGAGTTTTGCACATTTATGGGAAAGAAACGAAAGCTCATGATCACAAAAAGAAACCTGATCATTAATATTCATACACCTTTATTTATAATAGTCCAGAGTAGAAACAGTCCTGAGCTTGGTTACATCCATTAGCATGAAATATTAATAATGCGTATGAGCTTCCATAGAAATATTCTGAATCAAATAAGGCAATTCCAAACAGTCAGAAATGTATGGTTCTAGTTAAATAACATTCTTAAAATGATTTTTTTTTAAATTATGGCTATGGAGGGCAAATTTAAGTTTGCCAGTGATCAGGGATACAGTGGAAGACAAAGGCTACATTGAGGGATCTGTGTAAGGATGGGCAAGGTTCATACTGTAGGATGGACCTTTTCCATACCTTGAATGCTTCAGCACCAGTCTCTCTGGTACAGGACGGCATCACTGGGGAGAACTGGGTATAGCCTACTCTAAGGATTCGGCTGTCTTATAATCATCAATAAAGGATTTGGGTATAGACTACGAAGGAAAATTTAGGTTCATAAAAAAACTGGGACACAAGTGTTAACCTCAGGACTTTCCTCTTGTTACTACAAACTTGCAAGGCTCAAAAGCAATTCCATGTGTTAAAAAAAAAAAATAGACAAACTGGCCTGAAAGATAGAGGCCAGAGGGCAAAGGCTCTTGAAATCTAAGCCTGCAAGCTTGGTGTCCTAAGGTTCGTCCCTGGAAGCCACATAAAGTCAGAATCAGAGAACACCACAAGGTCGTCCACTAGCCGATACAGACGTGTCACGGAACATGCACACACATAAAGAAACACACACACACATAAAGCTAATAAAACTAGGTTAAATAAAATTGACAAACTGTGGTACATCTAACAACATGGAACACACTGGTGGTGCAGGCAGCGTTCATGAATTTGAAATTCACTGCTGTAAATACATTTTAAAAAGAATGGAACCAAAAACCATACAGCAACCCCTTTATTTTGTTTCTAGGAAAAGGTAATAAACAACACAGGAAAAGAGCATAAGTAGCACTGTAAGGCAAATCTGGGGCTGCAGCAAATCAGGGGCGTGTTGGGCTCTGAAGGGGTGAAAATACGAAGCTATGTTTTACATAGTCATGACAATAATTACTAAATCCTATGAATCTGTCAAAACCTAGAAAAATTACACAAAAGTATATTTAATGTATGAAGATTAAGAATAAATTTATCAAAAACATGTGCAGATACGGATTTTCTGTTTATAATATATATACATGCCTGACAGAGTAAATATTAAAATACTAACATTGGTACCTGAGTAACATTTGTAATTTAAAAATTACATAACATGAATAATATTTTTGTCTGGCACACATGTACATATGTGCATACATGCATACACATATCTGCAGTTTAACATTTTGTGTATTTTTGTGAGTAATATTCAAAAACATCTAGAAACACTAAAATGTAAAGAAATTAGGGAGAATTAAGATGGAAACACTTTCCTCCCTACAGCTTCCTGTATTTTCCAAATATTTCCCCTTTTAATACTTCTTAAATTAAAAAAATAATAATTTTTGTTCGCTGATGTACAAATTTTCTATAATGACTACGCACTGCTTTTTGAAGTTAACAGGTCCCATGATATAAAAGCCTCACAAGCGTAACTACATGTCATTAGAAGAAGTCTGGCAAGTCTCCATCCACCCCCACACCTCCCAGAACAAGTTCTACCCCACAGTGGAGCTTGTCAAAGGGTGTGTCTCTTCCCAACAGAGCCTTGTTGCTGCACTGGGACTCAGTGCGCTGCAGGAGAGAAATGAGCCCTCTAACAGCCTCCCACAGGCTGCACAGAGAAAGCCCTGCTAGCACAGAGCCCCAGGCAGCCAGATTTTTCCAGGCTTGGTTGGCTCACAAGACCATCTGATTCAATGTGGAAAATTGTACTATTGCTCGCTCCTCCGCAACACAGACAAACAGACGAAAACCCTCAAAAGCAGCCACCAATTTTGCTGTTATACCAGGCATAGGGGAGGGGGAAGGGTGGGGACAGGGCGACCTCAACCTTTGCTCACGTGACTTTCTACAATCTCAAGGCCATTCTCAGCTAATAGAGGGACTAGGTGAATAGGTCAGCCACCATTTGCCCTCCCTGACCAAACAAGGCTTCTGTTCTGTGCCTAATCCAAAAGGAGTCTGCAAATGAGAAGGGGCGGGGAGAAGAGACTAAATGCAAAGAACTGTTCTCCTAATTTTTCTCCTAGATTAGAAAAAAAAAAAAAAGACTATTGGATCATTCAAGTATTCACTCATGTTTGACTGTCCTGCAGAAAAACAGGGAGTCACATGCTCTGTTTAATATCTAAAAGAATAAAAACTAAAAAAAAACTATTAGCTTTGTTCACCAAGTAGTAATGAACCAGTGGCCTCCTCATGGCATCTGTGACTTTGATTGGCAAAATGGCGTAACGTAGTTACATAACAACATACAGAATGGCGAGATATTTTATTTGCTATTCACATTAAACCATGTACTGCCGTCAAGGAGACACTTGATAAGTATGTAAATGAACATAAGACTAACTCAAATGCAAAGTGCGGTTACTTGGGCATTTTAGTATGCTGGCCTTAACATTTTCATAAATGTCAAAAATTTTCATGTCTAAAGTAAAATAGGTGTACTCAGGAAAATCTATTTGATTATCTCCTGCTTTTTGAAATGCCCAAGACCTTCCATATCAGAGCCTTTCTTATTTTGTTCCTTCCATGGTTTTCTCAAATTCTTTTTGCAATACATAATAGATTAGATAATGATAACAACAACATGAAGCGATTCTTTCTTGATCATTCACTCAGATAAAATATAAGACCTTGTCTTGATCTTTCATAATACAAAACATAAACTTTAAGAATATTTAGTTAGTTGGGTGTGGGAACACATGCCTTTCATCCCAGCACTGCGAAAGCAGAGGCAAGGAGATCTCTTTGAGTTTCAGGTCAGCCAGGGGTACACAGTGAGACTTTGTCTCAAGAACAAAGCTAGTGCTAGGCAGTGGTGGTGCATGCTTTTAATCCCAGCACTCGGGAGGCAGAGGCAGGCAGATCTCTGTGAGTTCGAGTCCAGCCTGGTCTACAAGAGCTAGTTCCAGGCAGGATAGGAACCAAAAAGCTACGGAGAAACCCTGTCTCGAAAATCAAAAAAAAAAAAAAAAAAAAAAAAAAAAAAAAAAAAAAAAAAAAAAAAAAACAAAGCTAGCAAACAAAAGAATGTTGAATTATGGTAGTTGAAAGGGATTAGCTGTTATATTACTAGTGTCCTAAATACGAGGATATGAGTAACAACTTCCAAGTGTCAGTGCCTGGAAGAAATGTCCCACTGGTAGGTTGCTAAGCTTCCACTATTTCAACTCTAGGGACAATAAGATATCTTGGCTCCCCCAAAGATTATCCCAGTATGTTTTTCAACTGGACTAACTGGTCCACCACTGATGTAATAGTACCTGTTTTTCTCTTCTATTCTCAAGCTGTAATCTTTTGCATGTTTTCACTATGTTCAAGGCACCTTAGGCATATTTTGAAAGTATGTATAATTAGTATATGCAGGCATTCTGCATTAAATGACAAAACAGTGCAGCCTGGAACATCATTTATCAAATTAGAATATGGGCAGGCATCACCGGATGATCTTATAAAGATGTAAAGTCTGGTCGAGAAGGTGTTGAGGTTTGGATGTGGATTGTTGCCCATAGGCTCACAGGTTCGAGTGCCTGGTCCCTGTCAACTCATCATGTTTGGAAGGCTATAGAAACTTCAGGAGTTTGAAACTCTTTCATGAGTGTGGATGAGCCTTAAAGTTTTGCTGTCCAGCTCCATTCTCTGCTTCCCGACATCAGAGTGTCCTGTGGGAGCACATTCTGCTTCTTCAGCCAATAGTCTTTAAGAGACCATGCCCAAGCAATGTGACCCGCTACGCACATGTACTTGCCAACATGCCTTTCCCTTCATGACGGACTCTACCCTCTCTCACACTGAGATCCAAATCAAACTGCTAGTTCCTTTAATTCCTTCTTTGGAGGGATTTTGTCATAGCCAAGGAACAAGGATTCAAACAAAAGTTGTGAGTTACAGAGTGGCACCCGGAGAAGGCTGGCCCGTGCGGATCTCCGTTCACACTGTGGGAACGGGGGATGACAGAACACATTCTGCCAATGTGTGAATGACAAGTCAGTCTGAAATCAATGAGGAAAACACTGCCCCCTGAGAAACGATCACTAAGTAACAAAGCCAGAAGTGCCTGAGAACACCAGGCCCCATTTGGTTTTTAGGAACTTGAATCCAACATCATTGCTAAGTTTTAGTAACACACATCCAGATCATGTTTTCAAGGAAGCAGATTCTGACTCCATTATTAGACATTCTACTGTACACACCGAAACCGCATTTGGGTGGGTCAAAGCACTTTAAAATTGGCTTTGATGTTTTGGAAGAAGGGAGGAGAAGAAAAGAATTCTCCTAAACTATTTGGAAAGAGATAGTCCCCCCTGCTTGTTCAGACACTTACTTACAACCTATTGCTCCAAGCACTACCAGGAGGGCTCATACAACACAGTTGCCTTTAGTTTAATTTATGCGGCGTCTATTCTAATCCTTTGTTTTAATTATCTTTGGGGGAAATTACTACGCAAGCTGAAGAAGAACCATGCAGCTAGTGAATACAGGCATGAATCCAGATCATGCGAAGAAAAATTCCTCCGTAAATACACTGACTAAGAGAATATCCAAATAGTTTGTTTAATTTTTTTCCAGCACATTTACAATTACCTTCTGGCTCAGTTGTTCAGCAGTAGCTCCTGAGATAGTTAATAGCAAAGAAAAGACCTACTCTTCTCCGTGTTGTTTGGTCTTTGAACCATTTCCCACTGCCCAATGTCACACATACGCATGCTCCAGGTGGTGAAGGACCTAAGATCCTATGTTTGCATACAATCCAAAATGAAACAACTGTCTAATGGACATAAAGCACATAATGCACAAAGGACCAGCTAAATCGCTGCATTCAGCTATGAGGATGTTTTCTCTACCAGAGACTCTCCAGCCAAGAATGTTCTTTTTCTATTGCTGCTAGGACAAGCTACCAAAATGGTAGTGGCCTAACCTGCACGAGCTTAGCATTTTATAGCTCCAAAGGTCAGAAGTTCAAAACAGGTTTCCTTGAGGTAAAACTCAGATATCAGCCGACGTGTACACACTCCAGAAATGCAAGGGGAAAATCCAGTTCCTTGCCCCTTTCTGGGCTGAAGGTCCCTTCTACCATCTTCACAACTGACAATATTACCACTCTGTCCTTCACTTTATTGGTAACATCTTCCTCTTCCTTGTTTTGAGTCTTCACCTGTTTGGTCATTCTGCTTTTAAGGATGTTCACGACTACACAGTACCCACTTAACTATTCTGCATATTCCAGAAAAAATTTAAGCTCAGTTGTTAACTGGTGCAAATTCCACCTGAGGTCTTAATTCCCCTCTTGTACAGCAATTTAACCTAGCCATGGATGCTGAGCTTTAAGAACTGGAAATCGTTGGCTCCCATAATTCTCCCTAACACATCAAGGTGGTCTTTTTCCACTTGAACCTGAATTCTCCAATAACACTCTCGTTCCCTTACAGTCTTTCCACACTAAGAAAAGCAACTCTTGGGCAATAATGATCTAAGAGTACTGGTAGCAATAAGCTATCTTTCAGAGTTTGACCACAGGTTCTGGATCTACTAGAATGACTCTCCTACCCAAGGGAAGATTTGAATTAGGCCAGCATGGCCACACCACATAGCCATCTGCACCTGGATACTAGAGTCCCGGTTTCCCGTCTCCTGATGGAGGAAGTTGACGTGGCAGAATTAGAACCCAACTGTGGCTGTCAGGGTGAGTGCCCTTACCTGCCATCCAACCCAAGCTGGCCAGAACGGGGCCTTGTCATGAAAATTGTGAAAAGCGACTGCCCTCTTTGAAAAGGGACTAGAATACTTAAAATTGCCCAAGATGTTAGTAAGTAAAGTTTATTCACTGGCATTTAAAAACACAGAGACACACATGTACACACATGCACACACACACACACACACACACACGTGTAAAATTAGGTGGTGACTCTCATTAGGGCACTCTTTTAACACCATCACAAGGGTCAGACAGGTTGGCTATCTGAACAGCTGTACCCCAAGGACGCTAACCCTCTACTAGAAGAGTAACAGTCTGCATGCTTTTTGGACTTTATTTCAGATGGGGTTTCTCTTAGGAACTATTTTTTAAGTGTAATTATTCTACTACACTCAGTAGCCACAGAAGGTGACAAGTTTGAGTGATTGGATTAAGGCTCGAGATAAACAGGGACTAAAACATGAATATGAAATAAAGTTTTAAACCTGAGTTTAATACCGGACTACAAAAAAAAAGTCTGTATAGTTAAGTGCTATTAAAAAGAAGTGAGTCCAACCATTGAATACAAAAATAGAAAGGGCATGACAGCCTATCAAACTGACTCTACTGCTGTCTCGAGTCACATGAAGGTTAGCAGAGGGAGATTGTTTCCTAACTCATAATAAGCAAAGCCAATGTGTGAAGCAGAAGTCCTGTCTTGGGTTGACCAGCACCCCCAAGTTCTACCCTGATCACCCTGATCTGTGTCTCCATTCACCACACAAGAGCCATGAAAGGCAAAAGCACAGTAGAACAGGGTTCATGAGAGCTATAGTTCCACCTTTGGCGATACTCAAATGGGCCAACTCAAGGGAAGAGCTGACTCAGGAGTGAGAGAAGGCCTTAACTCTAAAGGACCCTGAAAGTGTATGCACAGATTTTTTTTCCTAATAGCATGTGAGCATCACTGATGTAAACATGAAACATCTGTCAGAAGAGACATGATGCCTTGTGCATGCTCTAAAGATTCTCTGCACATAACTGCTGGGGCCTGACTCTGACGATGTGAGTCTCTGCTGTCCTACACATCTGGTAAAGCCAATCTCCACTGACTAGCCAATCAGCTCCTCCAGGAAGGTAATCCTGTTGATAACTATCTACCTGAAAGACACAAGAAACTGGGAGCGAAGCCCCACCATGTGCTCCCCAGGTGGACAGACATAGGAAGAAAGGAACACTGGTAGGGAATTCATACATTCAGAGCAAAGTCAATTCCAAGAAGGAGTTGAAATCTCAATTCAGGTAGCACTGGACAGTCTTGTGCCTCGAGACAGCTGGGGAAAAGGCAGTATATCTTACGTAGTGCACGCTGAAGCATCTAGCTGTGTTTCTAACGGCATTCCACACCTCTGGAAAGATCTTCAAATAGGTTCAAATTTGTCAAGATGGAGAGTCAACAACATCCGTGACAACCTTCTGGATGTGACAACTGTATAATCTCAGATAGTCCTAGCAGTCCAGGAATTGGTTGTATTTTTTTTCTCTGTGGTTTTTAAATGACTTTTGTTTCCCTACACTGCCCATGTCTGGAGATCTTTTAGCTTTGTCTTGGTGACTTTTCACTGAGAAGTTTCAGGTCTCCCTCACGTTATGACTGGGCATTGTGTCCACCCTCTGATTATCTACAAGAGTACTTTGGGTACCCAAGTAGGAGAACTTTAAACTAGTAACTATAGTCTCCTGAATCTGTTTACAAGTATCACATGTTGACAGATGATTACGCAAACTACAAACTTTCACTGTGGAAGACTGGAAGTTCCAAGTATGTCAGGTCGAGCCCGCCATGAACTGTTCTCTTGGTGTTTTCCAGTGGAAAGGTCAGAAACACACTGTTGACAATGGGCAGAAAAGGCATGTGCAAAGGTTTTATTGTGTGCTTTCTCTCCCTCCGATGGAGAGGTTCCAGTGCTTCTAAGCCATGTTCCAAGAAACCAGACAATACTCAGACTCCCGCGCGAGTGTTGCAAGTTTACCTTGGCAGGTGGCTTTGGAAAGCACTTCCGAGGAGGATAAACCTGAGGACACTCAGGATCAAGGCTGACAGATGCTTTTGCTGGCGTTATCCTCTTTGCATGTCACTTCTTAGAAGCAGACCTATGCCCATTTGGCTATGCCCCATCTTTTTATCTCCCCTACCTACCAGGTAAAAGGTGAGAGGGGCATCCAGGCCTTCATGGGACCCCAGCCAGCATGACTGTTGGTGGCGCACACACGCTGGTGCTTGTGTGAGTCACACACACACACACACACACACACACACACACACACACACACACCACACACACCCCGGGGAGGGGACGGGGGGCGGTGCAGCTGGACAAGGGAGAAACAGGATAGCCTATGGCCTTACCAGATCAATGAAGGTCAGGAACTTCCAGCTCCCCCCATAGGTCTGATGGGAGGGCATTTCGATGGCTTTGTAGTTGCACAGGATGGAGCAATAGGACAGCAGGATGGCCACCCGCAGCACCTGGCAGGGGACAAGCGCCATGTTCGCGCGGCCTGGCCCGGCGGGACTGCTTGCAGGGCGGGCGGGTTCTTTCGCGGTGCCCGGCGGCGGCGCCGTGGGAACCCGGGCGCGGTGCGGCGAGGGGCGGAGCGCAGGAGGCGGGGCGTGTCCCCCGGGACGGACGCGGCTGCGAGCGCACCGGCGACCTGCGCGGGCGGGGCGGGAGTGAGGCCGACGCGGGCCGGCGGCCTGGTGTCATCTCTGGCGTCATCTACGTCATTCTGCAGCTGCGTTCGCAGCCCGGGCCGGGCGCCCCCTAGGCGGTCCTCGAGGTCTACCGCCGGCCTGCGTGCCGGAGCGCGGTCCAGGGGGAGGAAGGGTCAGCATCCCCGGGCTGCTGGCTCGGGAGATAGACGCTCGCTGCCACCGCACCCACGGGGGTCAGCCGTCCTCCAGTGACACCTATTAGGATTCAGCTGAAGGTTTAAAGTTGATCAGCATTTACGACTGTGAAAGCCCTTATAAATTAATTCCACGAGGCTTTGTTAATTTATCAATACGTAACAGAAGATTAAACATGAGCTTTGAACAAGTTCTTTTAAAACTTTTTACTATGCACGCACGCTCTCGTGTGTGTGTGTGTGTGTGTGTGTGTGTGTGTGTGTGTGTGTGTGTACCATAGGAAAAGTGTGGAGGCCAGAGTAAACAGCTGGTGTGAGAATTCTCTCATTCCACAACGTGGGTCCCCGCTATCAAACTCAGATCATGGGGCTTGACAGCACGCGCCTTTGCCAGCTGAGCCATTTCAGTGACCAGAAGAAGTTTTATAAATAGAAATCTATGGTGATTGCCCTTACTGCTAGGAGACTGCATTCCATTTTAAAAGCCAAACCACCCGGTGGATGTAAATCTCACCCACGCATGTGTGATTTAATACAAATCCTTCAGAGTTAAAATTCCTTTTGCTCTTCGACATTTGCCCCCTTAGACTACAGTACCAGCGATCAATGAAAGGAAAGTAAATCTAAAGCTGATTCCCTCAGCCTTCCAGTAAATGTTGTCACAGGGAAGTTGCAACAGTCTGTGGGCAGCGTAGTTATTTTATTTTATTTTCTTAAATCATGATCATGTTTCAGCCAACCAGATAAAGGGTCCGGTTATGAGAAGGCCACATAGGTATTTCCTGTGGATCTATTCACAACAGGTGTCCCCTTCAAATAGTCTCTGAGTCAGAGTATGAGGGGGCAGGGAAAGCATAGTCTCAGGGGTAGAGAAGCCAGCAAGTCCAGCATGCACTCCTGAAGGTTTCCAACCAACAAGGGAAGAAAGCCCTGAGATCTTTCCAAATGGCATAATTATGCTGAAAGAAACTGAAGCCAAATCGAGCATAAAAAATATTCTTCATTCACAACCTAGAAACTCATTCTCATACTAAAGTCGGGGCTATTTGTGTGTGTGTCCTTGCTGAATGTTCATGATTGCAAGGAAAAAATTGAATTTATTGAAAATCCCTCAGTCCTACAAAGACCTTAAAGAAGTTTCTAGAAAGTGAAGTGCCATTTTAAAGTTGGATACACCTCTCCTATTTGGATTTTAGAATCTTGTTAATAAGATTTCTCTTCCTTCATAATTATAAAATAAAGTAGTATTTTTATTTTAAAAATTTACTGTGGATATAAATATGATGACATCATGTGTTCTGTTGCTCTGTTTTCGGAGGGGTGTTTTGAACCTGTATTAACAGATTTACTTTTATCATCCTGATTTGCTAACCATGTGAGATGACTTTATGTTTTTAAGAATGAAACATTTCACGTTTTAAAAGAACATCAGTTTCCAATCCTTAAGACTTTCTGTTCGCAGTTTCTTACCGGTATCTTAAGATATTCAGGGGCTTTCTGCTTGCCTTTATGTTTTTCTGTCCTAATTAGGTTTTTCTATTGCTGTGAGAAGACACCATGGCCACAGCAACTCTCACAAGGAAAACATTTAATTAGGGCTTGCTTACAGTGTCAGAGGTTCACTCCATTATCAACACAGCAAGAGAATGGCAGCATGTAAGCAGACACGGAGTTGTAGTAGCTGAGACTCCTACATCTTGTAAGCAACAGGAACCTGACTGAGACGCTGGGCAGTATCCTGAGCGTAGATAACCTCAAACCCAAATCCACAGTGACACACTTCCTTCAACAAGGCCAGGCCCACTCCAACAAAGCCATACATGCTAATAGTGCCACTCCCTATGAAATTAAGGGGGCTAATTACATTCGAACTACCACACAGGTTTTCTCTGTATGACCCTGACTGTCCTGGAACTCTTTCAAACTCAGAAAGAGCCACCTGCCTCTGCCTCCTGAGTGCTGAGATTAGAGGTGAGTACCATCGTTGCTGGGCTCTCTCTCTTTGCTTTTTAGTCCCTACCTTAACATCCTAGTCATGGTTCATAGGCGTTCTCTGTGAGACAATAATCTGAATACCATCGTATTTCCAGTTTATCAAATACTATGTTGCATGGATTTATAACCTCAATCAACACGCTGCTTCTGCTAGGAAGCAGATTTATTTATTTATACTTCCATGATTTCACATTGGATTTCGGTACCAGGCTCGCTGTGTGGAAGAAATGTCGGAGCGTCACGTTCTTCATTTTTCACTTTGCTGCACAGTTGGTGAGGTCAAAGGAGGAAAAACAGGCTCATCCACCTGAGTTTTACACAGTAAACAAGCCAAGCCCCCAGAGAAGACTGCAGAACTCTGTTTTAGCTTTTAGTTATATTAGGGCTTTCAAGGTGAGGATTGAATAAATTCTGCTGTAAGTACTCCTAAAAACTGGCACAAGCTCTTTATTTGTGTGTGTGTGTGTGTGTGTGTGTGTGTGTGTTGTGTGTGTGACAAAAATTTTGCTAGGGAGACACTACACAGAGAGTCACACACATATCTACTCAGTCCAGATAGGGATCCCCATGACCGACCAAAGTAGGAATACCATCAAAGTCCAACTTGATGTGAACCCATGAGTTTTATTGGGGTTAATTACAGGAATGTAGCTGAAGGATTCATTACAGGAGTAGAAATGACTAAAGACGGCTGCACCACCACCCCCACATGGGTGGTAGGTCACAAAAGCTGGGAAACTTGGAGTACACGGCACAGCCTGAAGGCAGCTCAAAGGGTTGGAGAGTGTCTTCTCTAAGTGACTCTGGTCTAAACCTCTCCCAGGCAGCTCAGCTGGTTTCTACTCTTCCAGGCATCTGATCTGGTCTACGAGTCTTCAGCTCCTTATAGGAACTGTGGGCTTTTAGTGCTTACTGCAGTAGGGAGGGCCCTAGTGAATCTGGTCAGTTTCAGGGATTTCCTGAAGCTTTTTTTGAGTTGTTTATCTTCCTGTTGAAGTAGCTTTCCGTAGAATGGAATGTTTCAATCTCCTAGAAGAAGCTGTTACACAACTCTCTCTCTGTGTGTGTGTGTGTGTGTGTGTGTGTGTGTGTGTGTTTTGGAGGGAGAGATTGGCATATTGGCACATTGTCTGATGATACTTGTTAGCTTTGGAAATGGCAGGGACTGCTGTGTCTGTTCTGTTTCTAGAAGCCAATTTTATATAACCAGAGGTCCCAATTTGAAATTTGGGTGTGGTTCTATGGTGTAATGGTTAGCACTCTGGATTCTGAAATTTGGGAGGAAGTTTGAGCAACAGTTCCTTATAATAATCAACGATCATGCATATTTTGGGTTCTGTATTGACATTAAATAATTATTTCTAATATACCACAAAGGTGAAGATTAAGAGACTTGGGCATGGCCAAATCTTCTCAATGTGAACAAACATCCATCAAAGGTTTGAAAAACTGGAGACTGACATCCTCTTAAAACAGTGTCTCGGCCAGGGGCAGGCCATATATTTAACTTCAAAATCTATAAAAATCATCTCACCATGGTTAGCAAATCATAAGATAACAAAAGCAAACCAATTAAAAGAGGTTCAAAACACTCCCTTAAAACCAATACAGAATTCTTGTTGGAATGTTATTCACCCAAAAGAAAACTGCTAATGATTAAATTTGAAACATTTGAGTCACCTCTTTTTCCTTCATTATAAAAGTAGCATATTTACAATATTAAAATTATAAAAAAATAAAATACAACATTATCTCCACCCCAAGAAAACCACTGAATACTCTTACTTCTCCCTTTTAGCTTTTATAACCCCAGAGGACACTGGATATGGCATAATCTATACAGCAATCTGCATCCTAAACATTAAATTAATTTTAACATTTTTGTTTTGTTTTGTTTTGTTTTTCAAGACAGGGTTTATCTGTGCAGCCCTTTCTGTCCCGAAACTTGTTCTGTGGATGAGGTTGGCATAGAGATCCACTTGCCTCTGCCTTCCGACAGATGGGTTGAAAGTCATGATTCACCACTAGCTTATTAGCTTAACTATAACTAAAATTCCTATTTTTTTAAAACAAGTAAAAACTCATTAAAATAAATTGCACTGAATGATTTTAGAACACTGCATCATATGGATTTCATATGTGGGTCAGATTTTCCCCCAGTTTGGGATGTCTACGTAGCTCCCTAAACTTTGCTCTGAATACACTCTGATGGAGGAAGGTCATTGGTTAATTATAATAAACCAACTGCTTGGCCTCATAGCTTAGAACATAGATGGGAGGAATAAACAGAATAGAATTCTGGGCTGAAGAGGAAGTGAGGTCAGACTCTGCTCTGCTTCCAGAGGGACCGGACAGCTCTGCTCTCTGGAGCAGAGACGCCATGCTCTGCTCTCCCAGGCAGCTCCAACCCATGATGGACTTAGGCTAGAATCTTCCCAGTAAGCGCACCTTGGGGTGCTTACACACATCGTTAGAAATGGGCTAGTCCAGGTGTGAGAATTAGCCTGTAAGGGCTAGAGTTCATGGGCCAAGCAGTTCTTAAATGAATACAGTTTGTGTGTTGTTATTTCGGGCATGAGCTAGCCAAGCGGCCAGGGTATTGGGGACGCAGCCCCACCGCTCATATTTCAACAACACTCTACACAGGGCCTGCAGTTTTTACTGGGAAAGCCACTTTTTAAGTGGTTGGAGCTTAAAACGAGTAAGAAGTTTTATAGGCTAACATGTATACTTGTTTTCTTTCATTGTGTAAGTGTGTGTGTGTGTAGGTGCACATGAGTGTGGGTGCTCAAGAATGCCAGAAGAGGGCACCAGATCCCCTGTAGTTGGATATATGAGAAGTTTGCC